CAAGGCTGTACACATACATCAAATCTCTGTCACCCACGCACATACACACAAATAAAATAAACTTTAAAGAATTAAAGTTAGCTGACTTTAGAGTGATGAAGTGGAAAAGACTGTGAATCTGTACTGTACTCAAAAGAAAGGTACTGTTTGCGTTTTATGTTTTGTGGGGTTGGGTTTTTGTTTGTTCGTTGGATTGTTTGTTTGCCTTTGTGCAACCAATGTTTCATTCTGTCTCTCTATGGGGTCTGTCCTTACCGGAGCTTTCATGTGAAAGGGCTAATACTGTAGAGGGTCTTTGCATCTAGTTTCCTTCACTCTACATGCCACTGAGGTGCATCCATGCCTCAACACACCCCAAAACTATGTTCCACATTATTACATGGTGATGGTCCCCCGTAGAATATATCACATGAGGTGTATTCATTCAACAGTTGAAGAGCTTTTAGTTTGCATTTCATTTTATCATTATCTTTAAATTTATAAACAAAAATTATATCCATTTATACGATACATACTTGATTTTTTGAAAATTGCTTTTTAGTTATGTGTATGCATATAAGTGTGTCTGTGAGTTGGGGTGTATAAGTACAGACAAGAAGGCTAGAAGAAGCCATCAAATCTCCTGAGTTACAGGCAGTTGTGAACTTCCTAACCGGGGGTGCTGGGAACTGAACTCATATCCTCTGTAAGAGCATACATGGTCTTAACTGCCATCTCTCTAGGCCCAGACTTAATGTTTGATAACACCCGTATTGTGGAACGTTCGTGGGGCATCTCACATAGTTGCCAGGATGGTGTGTGTGTGTGTGTGTGTGTGTGTGTGTTAACTCTCAGAAAGCATATACCAGCAATATGCATATGTGCATATGTCTGTATTTATAAACAAAATCAGTTATTCCATATATAATATTAAGTTTATTTCTCATTTTAAAATACCTTTTGTACATTTATGATGAAACACTACTCTATCCTACATGTAAAGAGCTTGTTAATGATTAATAGACAAATGCTAATCATATATGCTTAAAACTTTGGTGATGGGATCCAAAGTTTAAGAAAATATATTGAAAACAGATGTCTAATGGGACTAAAACTTACTTTTAAACCTCCGTGCCTTATGCTAGTAGATATGAGTGAGGTACTGAAGGGCCCGTGAACTCACGCAGCACATCGGAGTACAGCAAAGAGTGGTGACTTAGTTTGTTTCCTGTTTATATACATTTCTCCTACAGCTCACACACTTCATGGGGTACAGAATTCTCCTACATGGGGTAATTGCATAGGGCACAGGGCCACAGGAACAGGACATGGTGGGTGAAGGTCCAGTTTCTGAATCTAGGTTACCTGAGCCTGTCTTGTTTGTACATTTGTTCTCTTTGTGTGTATACATTTGTGCCTATATATGATGCCTGCATGCCATGGTGTGCATGGGCTAAAAGACAACTTTCTCCCCCCCCCTCTCTTTCTCTCTCTGTGTGTCTCTCTCTGTGTGTGTGTCTGTGTGTGTCTGTGTGTCTGTGTGCACGGTGGGCATGTGGAGTCAGAAGACAACTTTCTGGAGTTGGTTTTTTCCTTCTACAACAAGCATGGAAGGGATCCAACTCAGGGGTTCAGGCTTGGTGCCAAGTGACTTTTCCATCCCCCACCCTAATCTACATCTTGGCCCTGTGAGTTCCTAGCTGTGTCTTTGAGGTGATCACCATCTTTCTTCCCTGTCTTAGTTTCTTTCCCTATAAAATGGGGGCAGCAGAATGTATTTCTTAACTTTCTGGTGAAGAAGGGATGAGCTAATGTATGAATAATCTTGCATTCATGGTTGCTGGGGTAGTATTCACTCTGGGTCAGCCACTGAGCCATGAACACACACACACACACACACACACACACACACTCTGATGAGTGTACTTGGCTATGTTAGTATTTCTATGCAATATATACTGATGTGATTATATTTAATAACACTATTAAGAGCACTCAACAATTTAAGTTTTTCACATGTGTTATTTTAAAGGTTTATTTTATTTTTAATAGTGTGTGTGTGTGTGTGTGTGTGTGTGTGTGTGTGTGCATCTGCTTATGAATGCAGGTGCCCCTACGGAGGCCAGAGGTGTCTCATCCCTGTGGAACTGGAGTTACTGGTCATTATAACCTGCCCATCATGGATGCTGGGAAGGAAACTCCAGTCATTTGCAAGAGAATGTACTTTCCTCGTAACCATAGAGTCCTGTCTCTGGCACCACATACATTATCTTGATCCTTTTAGGAAAAAAAAAAAGTAACACAGCAGCATACACAGCATACTGCATAGCCTGTGCTCTGTATTCTCACTGTTCAGATTAGAAAACTGGGGTCCAGAAAGGCTCTGTGACTCCTAGCCCGCAGAAGCTACACAGCTAGCCAGTGACACCCGGGAGCCTGGCTTTTAAAGTCACTACCTGCCATCACTTTCTTGCTTTAATGTTATTTAATATTATTCCTACACTTTAGGATACACTAATCTGCGTGGGGCTTAGCTTTTGGTCAGATATTTCACATCCGTTGAGTGTCACAGCAAGCTGGTGCAGGGAGAAAGGTGGTTATCACACATACACTCAAGAATGGAAGCCATCAGAATGAAATACTCGGCATCTGTGCGTGGAAGTGGTTCATTACCAGTTTCCTGGGGACCTCTGTACACAGGAAGCTACCCTCTGTAAACTTGGCACATGTAGTGTGCCAAGGTCAGACATGGAGAGGTGAAGATGTAAGCCATAGACCATTCCTGGAGACATCCCAGCCTCATGGGAGAGACAGATATGGAAACCAAGATCCATAGTGTACAATATATAGTCTCCAAGGGGGATCTGAGGAGAGGAGCCAGCTGTGTCTGGGATGTCTTAGAAAAGGCAAATGGGGAGGGGGAGGGGAGCTTTCCCTCCAGAGAGATTGTACCTGTATGTGAACCCATGTCTGTGCCTATAACGGGGTAATTATAAGCATAATCGTGTGTGGATCTGAAATGTTTCTACACAGCTTTAATCGTGTATTAATTTATTAATTATCAATAGCCTGGCTATAAAAGAGAATTGGTCCGGATTCATATACACCATAGCAGAATCAGGCCAGCCATGGTTTGAACATCCTCTCCCCCATCCAACTCCCAACACTAGGGTGACCAGGGACCCTGGCCACTCCTATCCTAGCAGCTGTGCTTTCTAGAGCTCAGGTGATGAAAGCCACCACAGTTTTCAGCCCATTTGCCCAAATGTCTAATTGAGCCAGACAGCTTGCATGAGTGCTGGATAGTGAGGAGACATAGTATCTGAGGGTGCGCATCTGTGTGTACATTTCTGTTGTGTGTTAGTGCTTAGTGTTGGCTGCTGCTAGCCTGGCTAGGAAACCTTCCTTTTCCCACCTTCACTCCCAGCCCCCACCAGCCCTGCAGGGGAGGGGCTTATCTACTCACCTGTCTCCATGCTTGGGGATACCTTGGGCTGAGCTGCACTGGTAGCATATTCCTTTCTCTCCTCTACCCTGCCTATTCTGGTCCAGGGCCTTCCCAGAGCTAATGTGAACAAAGGCAAACAGTATACATCACAGCCATGAGGAACAGAGAGCCACTCTCTAGGTGGGTAGCTCCACACCCCTCCCCTGAGGACAATACTTCTTTATAGGACAGATGTGATTATGGAGAGAAAGTGAAGGTTCTTCTTTCCACAAAAGCTCACCCAAGAATAGGTTGTCAGGAGGATGACTATTATTCTCTTATTTCCTCTAAGCTTGACCAATTTTTTTTTTTAAAAAAAAATAGTAGGTTGGTGTGGTGGTACATGCCTTTAATTCCAACACATGGGAAGGAGAGACAAGTATATCTCTATGAGTTTGAGATCAGTCTGGTCTCCATGGTGAGGTTCTGGCCAGTCAGGGCTGCATAGAGAGACCTTGTCTAAAATACCAAAAAGAAAGAAACAGAGAAAGAAAGGAAAGGAGGGAGGAAGGGAGGAAGGGAGGAAGGAAAAAGGAAGACAGAAAGAAGACAGAATTAATGGTGTTACTGGCAATGTGTAATTAATAGCAAATAATATGTAATTGATAGTGACCACCAGTAAATTTCTCCTATTTTTGTAAAACATGTAAATTTGGGACTGGAGGTCGTATAAGGCAAAGGACTTGCAGGCTAGAATACTTAGTATTTACTCTTAGCGCAATAGATTGCCACCATCTAAATACATCTACTCACATGTTAGGATGGGCAAGAGTGAAGTACAGTCTTTGGCACATACTGCGTGACATATTTTACAGCTAATAATGAACATGAGTAAATGGGTAAAAAAAAAACAAACATAACTCAAAAAGTAGAATTATCTAGTGATCTCTAACTACTTGGATTCTGTTCCTAATTCTACCAATGATTTAAATGATTCACTGTGTCAAAAGTCCTTTAAAATGCCATCTATTAATAAGTTGGTCTCACAGTAGAACATTTCTCCAAAACATCAATATGCTTAATAATCATGATTAAAGTGTCTTTTAAAAGACATTTCACTTTAAATAAATGCTAGTATTGCCTGTCTGAATACTTCACCTTAATTATGGTGTCCTATATAGTATGTGTTTTCATGTGCCAAGCACAAATATTTTTCTTACTATTGATAAAAAAAAAATGCTGGCTCACAAAATGCCAGAGGAATTTTCCATGTTCATATAGTGTTTACTTGCACTTAAATAGTGCATCAATAATCTGAAAACAAGAAATCGCCTGAGTGGCCAGACACTGTTTAGATGCTATGGTTTCTATCATGGACTGCTTTCAATGGCTATGTTTTATGGCACAGATTCAGTGGGAATCTGATCTGCTAAAATATTTGGGCTGTGAAAACTCCCACACTGTGACAGATGTCAAGTCCAATTAAGTGACTCGTGTCCAGGTTTCTGTCCAATAGGATTTCCCATTAAATATCAATTTAGGGGGAAAAAAATTCCATCCCCCTTCTTAAGCCTTTATCTCTTCCACCATCTCCAGGCTAAATCAATTGGTACCAGAAGAGCCAAGAAGCCACACAGGCAGCTGCCTCTGCTTTGACTCTCCCAACCTCTCCTTTTTCTGCTTCCCCATCAGTGTTATTCCAGAAGACATCCACTTCTCTCCAACCTTCCTCAAGCATCTCCAAGCTACTGACTATATACATTTTACCACAAGGTAAAGAGGGGAGGGAGTGGGGCAGGGGAGGGGGTGTAACCAAACCTTGAAAGACTTTGAAACTGGAAAATAGGCGTCTGTTTATACAACATATAAGTAGATGAGGGACAAGACCGAGGCAACCTTAAGCCCTAGTTACTGTATTGTGTTCCTGAAAACTGGGGAGACATCGGCTGAACAAAGCATTATCTTGAAGAAGAAGAAAAAAATCACTTCTGAGCCCCATCCATCCCTGCCCGCACTTCCCAGTTTCGCCCCAGCCCGATTAAGGGAAGGGAAGGGGTCCTCAAGGAATGGAATTTTATCTTAACCATCTTTCTTATTGATTATTCTGCTATTAGAAAGTGGAGGAATCGGCCCTTTGATGTGATTGTGTTTATCTCTGCATCTCTTTTGTTATTTATAGAGCCCTGGGAGTGGGGAAGCGTGAGGTTTCAACACTTCGACTTAGAAAGATCATCAACGAAATTTCCGAAATGTTTAAGAACAATTAAAAAGCACGGGCGTTTTCAATCCATCAACTAAGTGAACAACCATATCTTCCCCCCCCAAGACACCGCCGCTCGTTGTGGCGGTCGGCGAGATGACAGCTGCTTTTTCATCTGCGAATGTAATAAATATTGGCTGCTTTTAATATTTGCCAGGATCTCTCCTCCTTGTTTCCTGGAATTTTAACTCTAAAAGATTGGCGAAAAATTATCGACAGGGCTCTTGCAAGGTAAGACATCTTCATGTGTCTTTTTCTTTAAATTAAGTTGCCTCATATTGTGTTTTATAGATGCATTCCCCATACATGGTCATAGACATAAATGCCCATGAGAAATACCATTTATGACTTTTTAAATATCTGGAGGATTTAAACGCGTGGGGGACAACCCAGGAACTTTTTGTCCGATCTGTAACTATGTCGTGGTTTGTTGTGATTTTTCTCCCTGTGTATTTCTACCTCTTCACGCCAACTGCTTAGATATGAGTTGTTTTACTTATAAACGTAGAGGAAAGCCCTTAAGGGAATCGCATGTGGTTCGTTTGGATCATTTGTTGTTATTCTGTAGATCCGTTTTTCCTGCACGGAAAGCTGTTTCCCAGCTCAGTTCTCTCCTGGGCAAATTCGCGGCCGGGAGCCGAACCTACATTCCCTGGCTTTTGTTTCTCTGGAGCGAGCCTCTTACAGGACGGGTTCGGAGCCTTGCCTGCAAGGGGCACGGCGGGGCACAGGGGTCGCAGCCCGGTCGTCCTTCCTGGTGGCCAAGGCCCAAAAGCTCAGCTCGAGCAGGTTTCTGTCCCCACCCGCCCGCCCGGATCCCCCACAAGCCCAAGGTTCCCGAAGACGCGCAGCCGGGGCCCTTCCTCCAGGCGCCCGCAAGCAGCCTGCCCGAGGTGGCTTTTCCAGGAGACCATCGTCTGGGGAAAGCTGGGCAAAGACTCGGGGCCGCGGCCAGGCCTCCCAGGGCGGCCGGTGAGCTGCGGGGTTCCGGTCCCCTGAGCTCACGAACTTCACCCGCAGAGATACAGCTTGCGCCCGGGGCGTCCCTCACCCGCGCCTCGGAGCCCATCCCTCTCTTGCCCTCCCCAGTCCCTTCGCCCGCAGCGACCCGGCCGCCTGAGTTTTCCCGGGAGGTGGTCGGCAGACTGCCGGGTATTGTGTGATCCACGTCCCTAGGTCCCCAATGTGTGTGGCAGTCTGCGTGACAGATGGTGCTCCGGGAGAGTATGAGGGCCGAGGAGTCAATTTCTTTTGAAAGGACCGAACACATGTGTTCGGTCATTTCATTATTATTTCGGAGAAACGAGGGAGAGGACGGCACGAAAGCCTTTCTATCTCCGGCCTAGGTTCCAGGATGGGGCCCGCCCGCACCCCAGCGCAGCCTAGACCCTCAGGCGCTGGGTGTCTCCAGCTGCCTTGCCCTAGGCCCTCTGATGGGATGCATACTCTGCATCTCCATTAAAACTCAGATGCATCCATCCTTCGGGCATCCGTCCTTCGGGATCTTTCGTGTGTCTGGGAAGGGGGCAGAGCAAGGGAGGCAGGATAGAGCAGCTGATGTCTGGCCAGAGAGGACACAAGATGTCAGCCGGCCTCGGAGGTCCATGGTTGTTCTCCAGCGCCAGGGCCACTGGCCACTCCACCTGCAGGTTTCGGTGTGGGGTTCAGAATGCCCTCTGGTGCCGGCTCCTCGCCTCCCCACTTGCGTGGGCTTGATAGAGGAGAGGGCCTGTGTCCCCGGGTTCTCTCCTAGGAGTCCAGGCTTACTAGGCCCTCGCCCGCCACTCGTCCTTGCAAACCAAGAACCAGATTCCTTTTATTAACTGACTTTCTGACTCCCCATCAGCCTCCAAAATGATGCTGAGTCCGGATCAAGCCGCAGACTCAGATCATCCCAGCTCGACGCACTCGGACCCGGAGTCTCTGGGCGGCGCAGACACCAAGGTGCTGGGCAGCGTGTCGGATCTGGAGCCGGTAGAGGAGGCGGACGGCGACGGCAAGGGCGGCAGCCGGGCCGCGCTCTACCCGCACCCGCAGCAGCTGAGCCGCGAGGAGAAGCGCCGCCGCCGGCGCGCCACGGCCAAGTACCGCTCGGCCCACGCCACCCGCGAGCGCATCCGAGTCGAGGCCTTCAACCTGGCCTTCGCCGAGCTCCGCAAACTGCTACCCACGCTGCCCCCGGACAAGAAGCTCTCCAAGATCGAGATCCTGCGCTTGGCTATCTGCTACATTTCCTATCTCAACCACGTCTTGGACGTGTAGGGAGGGGGACGCCGCGGGAGGCCGCCGGTCCGGGCGACTGCCAAAGGCTACACACCCGGACTGCCAGGCTAGAGGTTTGCCCAGAGACACCTGAACACAGGAGAAAGCTTTGCAGCCTGTTCTTTCTGGTCATCAAGGCAACAGGGGAAGATTTCCGAGCCTAGGGGGTGGCGTTGGGTAGAAAGACCTGAGGCTTGCAAGGGTATTTTCCTGGCCAGAAAAACCTTCTGGAGGCACCTAGAATGAGTTGCCCTGAGGCCTCCCTCGGTGTGTTAGGATCCCCCGAGAGGGGTGGTTGCTTTAACTCACTGGAGGCTTTCAGTTACCCTGTATTTATTTCCTATACACCCTCACGCTCTGAAAGAATAAGGGCAGCTTAGTCCAGGCTGATGGCTTCAGACTATGACTATCTGGGATTTTTCTAACTGACAAATCACCAAACCTTGGGGAGAAAAAAAAGGTGGAAATCTTTTGCATACAGAGTTTAAAACACAGAAAGGTGTACCAGCAAACTTTTTGTTGCCATGTCAAATGAAAACTTACATTCTAATATAAATAAAACCCAGAATATTTGGTGAGGTTAAAAAAATACATTCAGAACAGACAGGCACACACTGTGGGAGGATTTGAGCTTGGTGAGACTTTAACCCCCAGATAGGACATTAAAGTAGATAGAAAAATCCATATTTAAATGGAAAATTTAACATCTGATTGCTTTTTTGGGCAAAGTGCCCCTTTAAATATCCAAAAACACCCTGTCTATTTGTGACCTTAACATGTGGACTCATAGATGCAGTTAGAAAAAGACAACCTATTTTTATTTATGTTAGAAGGAGTAGAGTATTTTTTTCAAGACATTTATTTTTCAGAGTGGTGATAATTTTACTTTGGATACTCTGTGCCAATTTATTTATAGTCGAGTGTTTACACTTTTTCCCGTGAAATAATTGTGTCTAACTCTTTATGTGTTTGTTGAAATTATCTTGTGATCTTGCCTCTTTTTTTTCTGATTATATTGCACTTGTATAAGAGAGTCCCCGCTTTCCTGTTTCTAAGCATATTTTATATATTAAGAAGTTGGTTCTTTGGTTGTGAGATCAGCAACACTAGCCCTTCACTATTATAGTTTTATAAAAAGTTAAGTGTTGTTATTCTTACCCGTAGTTTTGTCTGACAAGTACTTTACCAACTGTTTTTAAGGAGAGTAGCTTCTTTGTGTGTGTGTGTGCGTGACATTTGTGTGTGGGATATTTTAGGAAATTACATTATTTTCCTAAAAAAGAAAAGAAAAAAGAATTCAGAACTACTTTCCTCTGTGACAACCAAAAAGAAAAGTCTATGACTTAGAAATGTTTCATGTCCTCAGCTGTGAAACTCTTAAAGTAAGAGGTGTATTTTAGAGACAAGGAAGAAAGAAGAAGAAGAAAAACCACATCTGCTATCCAAAGATTTTAGTCTTTTTCAGGGTTTTTTTGTGTCTCTGTTGCTTTATATAATGCAATATTTTGTAGTGAAAATAGATATAACCTGGTTTCTACCTGACGAGTTTTTCATATCTCATGACTGGTGCGCTGTTTTGCATATAAATAAAGGTATCAGATCAAAGTTCTCATCTTTATTTTAAGCTTCTGTCTAGAAACCAAACATCCTGGCCAGGCGTGAAATGTCATAATGGAAGGAATTAGTAAAGTAAAAGAAGAACAAGAACAAAGCAATACACACACACACACACACACACACACACACACACACAATACGGATACAGCATAACCTGGGATGGTATAGATCATGTCTCAGTCATGAGGAAAAGCAGGATGATGTGTCTATAAAAACACTATAGGGTCATAAGATGCCTTTTTGTTCTAAAAGGAAACTGTCTAACCCAAGCTCTTGGGAAAACTCAGGGCCAAGAAGATGTCTGCATCAAGTGGCAGGGAAGAGCAGGGGGTGGCCCCTACACCCATGAACCCAGCACCTGAGAGTTGGAGATGGGAGAACCAAGAGCTCAAGGTCATCCTCAGCTATGCAGGGAAATTGAGGCCAGCCTGGGCTATGTGAGACCCTGTCCAAAAGAAAAAGTTAATGAGCAGACCTTTTGACAGCTTTCCCTCTGGGTACTTAAGCACAAGGCACGTGTCACTGAAACATCTAACCGGTACCCACGCTCAGCACAAGACACACTTGCAAAGAGAAATGGCCTTAAAACAGACTTTAACAGGGAAACTCCTCTGCACAAACCTGGGTCTGGCATAAAACATGAACTACTGTATAAGCAGAACCCATGAGTAACTCATAACCACATTCCTGTATGTACATGCGTATCTAGACTACTGTGAACTATATCGCACCAAATCTCCAGTTTCCATCTTAAAAATAGATTGTCAGTTTATGTCCATACAGCCTGTTACTCGTAGTGGTTTTGGTTTTCTCTCAGGTTTCTTGTGGTAAGCTTCACCAAAACTTAGCAAAGCAAGGCTTTGGTTTCTTCTTCTATCTGGAAGTGTTGGGTTTAAAGCACTTCCTGTCTAGGTTATGGAAAAGAGCAACATTTGCCTTTTACTCCTCTCTAGACACAGTTTTGGCTGCAGCAGCAGTGGCTGTTCAGTCTCTGGGCTGCAAAGACACATGTGGTCTGTGACACTGTTGTAGCTGTGTTTGGCTCTAGGGAACAGAAGGAGGTGACAGCTCCCAGCCTTCAAAGAGTCTATCTAGTAAATATTCCAGAGTTAAAGAAACTTCTAACCTCTGGAAACCTTCCACAGACATTGTTTTGCACAATGAGTGAGTGATCTATTCACTCACTTCCTGGGACGAAACGTGTCCTTACCCTTGAAGTAGGACAAAGGACATCATCCCCAGGTACACAACCTGCAGTGTCCCAAAGAAGGATCTTTACCGTGCTATTTTGAATCCTCCAGAGACAGACTAAAGTGTTGTGATTTTCCCTAGAGCAGAGAGTTACTGCCTTATCCCTTGAAGGTAGCAAGGACCCAGCACTATGAGGGTAGAGACTGAAAGAAGATTCTCAGAATAATAATGGTGAGGTAATTGACTCTCATGCTGATCATTTGCTGAGGACATACTGTGTGCCATGGAATGTCCTAAATCCTAAATAGTGAGATTGAATTAGACAATGTGGGACAGGACACTGACAACAAATGGCTGACCATTCATTTTGAATGACATTAAATGCTGTGAAGAGCTGCGTTTAACAAAGAATGGTAGGGCCTTGGAGGTGTGGTGGGGGAAGCAGTGTTCTCAGCAGGGCTAAGGAAGGCCTTGTGGCCTTGCATAGAGACACAGATCTACTTGACTAGTTTCCACAGATGCTGCCACGTGCATTCCCACAGCCTTTAATTTCTTGTCATGCCATGAAAACAGTCCAAACTTAAGCTACACCTTGTTTTAAATTGGCACAAGGGAACGCTGTCACAACAAGGATCAGCTGACGGCCTACTTCAGCCATCTTTCCCAGCTGGCTCCAGCCTCATCCTTCACCCAGAGTAGCTTTCTACTCAGGGATGTAAAACATGTTTTTTTTTTCTACTGCTCTTCTCACTACCTCTGCCTCGACTGCTCAGTGACTTGCTGGATCTTGCTGCTCTCCGTCGCGTCCTGTGGAAAGGCCACTGAGGGCGAATGCTTGTTTGCTCAGAGACTTCTCCCCACTCTGATCACCTGTCCACAGACTTTCCACACCTTAGGTGTAAAAGTGCTGGACATAAGTGTGTTCCTTTTCGGGAGAGAGCCAAGGAGTGTCAGAAGGGGAGTGAGTGAGTGTGTGATGGAGTGGGATGGGAAGGAAGGGAAGACTGGGGAGCGGGAGGGTGGTATAGAGAGAGTCAGGTTGGATGGGAGGTTGGGGAGGGCAGGGAACACCGTAGGATGGGAAGACCTGGAATCTCAGATCCTAGTGGTAGTCATCCTTCCAGAAAAGCCAGTGGAAGGAAACAGGTTCCTTCAAAGCTGGCCCTAAAGATTACACAACTGACCATCTCAATCTCTCCTAGTGGGCTTTAGGGCTCGCACTTTGATGAAAGAAAATGAAACAGGGAGTAAGTACAGTGTGACAATGGCTAGAAGTCCACGCACTGGTTGTGGTCTCTCTCATCCAGAGACCCATCTTCCTTCTTCGTTGGCTAGAACCTCACCATGGATTTGCTCTCCTGCGGCTAGTCAGCCTGAACCTGATACGGGCTTCTCTGCAGCAGAAAGGGCCGAAGAGAGGTGGAGATGTCAAAGGGAGGCAGACAGGAGCAGCTATTTGTTTGTGAGGCCCTCACATAGCCGCTGTCCATGAACTCGTGTCCCTTCCATGGCACAGGGAGGTAAGCAGCTAGCCTCGGTGCTGCTGGGACTTACAGAACACTCTTCCTGCCGGCCATCATATCAGGTAAGTAAGCAGCCAGCCTGAGAGCACGACTGCACAGTACCCTTTGCTGGGTTAATTGTTTACTATTATAAATCGTTTATTATTATAAAGGTTTCTCGTTTATTACTGTTAGTGATACCAATAGGCAGCGTGTTGAATGCAGTAGGCTCTAGACATATGAAGAGTGCCGTTGTGCATGCATGTTCATGTGATTCCCACCATGCATGTTCATGTGATTCCCACCATGCATGTTCATGTGATTCTCACCACTCCACGAGGTAGACACTTTCATCGTTTCCGTTTACCAGAGCAGAAAGTGAAGCCTAACGCAGTTAACAACTTGCCTGATTAATGAAGTCACACTGGTTGATTAACAGATAATGTCCTTACTTGTCACATTCTAGAGCTGTTCACTGACATCTGAGTGGCCGTGCCCCGTACTTAGATGCCTCAGCTCAGGCAGCACCCTGGGACTGGAGAAGGACTGTGATGCGTGCGACTGCTTCATCTGCTGGATGAATGAGTGCAAGCCAAGCAGAGCTGTACCCTTAGCCAAGCTGAGCATGCTCTAATGTGGGGCTGATGGATCTGGAGGAATGGGAACCTTTGTTTTTTCACTTTGTAAGATGACCCAGGGCCATTCCTAGGGAGGAGTTTGCAGTTAACCTGGCACTGTCCCTGGCTTCCCAGTCTTCTCAATCATATACCTCACCTACGTACCCCATCTCCTGTTCTCACATGGGCCCTAGAACCATCTTATAAAATTAGCATGTCATTCTATTGCCTGAAACTTCTCAGTGCCTTCTTAGGGGGAATGAGATTTAGGTCATGCTCTAGGCATAGAAATACTTCACAATGTTGTTCTAGACCAGTGTTTCTCAACCTACGGGTTGTAACCACTGGAAAACACGTATTTCTGATGCTCTTAGGAATAGAGACACCACTCAATAGTGAGATTACAATTGAGAAATAGCAACAAGAACAAATTCTAAAACCACTGGAAATATGTATTTTTCTGTGGTCAAGACCCACAGGTTGAGAACCACCGTTCTAGACTCTTGCTAGCATTGTCTTCAGTCAAAGGTTAAACATTGTTGCTAAACCCGGATCTACACAGAAACACACACACACACACACACACACATACACTCACACACACACACACCTTGGCATACCTAGTCCTTCCTAGTCCTTCCTTACCTGGGCCTTTGCACCTCCATTGTGATCCAGTTTCCATTGAAATACCCTGCTGCTGCTGCTGCTGCTGTTGCTGCTGCTTTCTCCTATGTCTTTGGACATCATCACTGCTCTGTTCTTCGGTTTCTACTCACACATTTCATTATATGAGAGTCCACTGTTGATCTTGTCACTGTGCCAAGACTATAAAGTCAAGTTCAGACACGGACTGTGACTTAGTTGACTTATGTCACCAATCTCTCTTAAAGTCAGTGTTTTCAAGGATAAGACACTCTTAGATGTGTGTGTGTGTGTGTAGTCTATAGTTTTACAGAATCGCAAAGCATAAGAGGTGATCAATGAGCATCTGTTACCAACATCTTTATATCTACACTTGCCTAGGAAGCAGTATAGAAGGAGCTAAGTCTATTTTATTTTTTAAATTTAAAGTTATGTATATGTGTGTGTGTTTTGGTATGCACAAATGTGTGCAAAGCTTTCAGAGGCCAGGAGAGAGTGCCACATCCCCTAGAGCTGAGTTATAAGTGGTTGTGAGTCACTGAGTATGGATGCTGGAAACTTCAATCCATTTGAGGAGCAGAACTCCCTCCTAACCACTCAACCATCTCACTAGCCCCTAAAACTAGTATTAGCCTCTGAATGTACTAATGATTTGTGATCTCCACCAAATGTATCCATCTGCATGTGACACATTATGAACTCTACAAAAAGCCAGTCAGAAATCATCCCTGACGATGGTTATTAACAGGGAACAGTGGAATTTACCATAAATGCATAATTTAAAATCACCTACACTTCTGACAGTCTCATTCTATTACCACACCTTGGCATTTTCTCTTTTCACAAGATCAAGAGTATAGATGCTGGAAAAGCAAGCTCATTGCAAATCTCTCTTACAACCGGACATGGCCTTGACCAAATTACGTAATTCTGTACTGTAGTTTCTCCATCTGCTAAATAGAGAGATAGGGACAGGGACGTGAGCTCTAATTTTTAAAAAGTTTTTATATGTTTTCAAATAAAACATCTCTCTCTCTCTCTCTCTCTCTCTCTCTCTCTCTCTCTCTCTCTCTCTGTGTGTGTGTGTGTGTGTGTGTGTGTGCATGTACTTGCTTGTGCCCAGAAGAAGACACGAGATCCCTTGGAACTGAAGTCACAGGTGGCTGTGAGCCACCTGATGTGGGGCTAGGAATCAAGCTCAGGTCCTCTGGAAGCACAACCAGCGCTCTCAACTGCTGAGCCATCTCTCCGGCCGCAGATCATGCAAATGGCAGCATTTTAAGGAAAGACATTTGGTTCATGTAAAGCACTTGGAACATGTTTTGTGCGTGTTAAAAAAAATTCAGTAGTACTGCTTTAGAGCTTTTGTTAAGTGACCTTTTAAAAGATGGATTTTAACAGTAAAATTCATAAAGTAATGGGCAGAGAAAAAATGTGTTGGGATTTCCTGTTCAATGTTGCTAAGTACTTCCAGGTCCAAAGTGAAATTTCTCATCTTGCTGGTCATTGTGGAAAGCTATCTGGAAAGATACTGAGGAGAGAGGCACTCAGGAACTTCTTAAATCACACAAAGATGGTTTAATTGTAAATGTGGACAATAGGGTCTATCTCTAGGATCTCTTGAGTCAAGACAGATGGCATGGTCTCCTCCTATGGAGGAGAGGGGCTGGAGAAGAAAAGAATTCCCTCAGAGATGAGTGGCCAGGCCTGGAGTCCTGGGTGTGGCAGGCGAGTTGTGGTGAGGTGGAACTGTGAGGGTAAGAGAAAATTATCTTAGTTCATGTGAGTTCTTGGGGAGAGTAGGCACTGTTCTGTCATCAGGA